AGCAATGATTTGGATTTGGGTTTCCTCCCATTAGCAGTGATTAAGAGACTAACCTTTCATTTAAACTGAATTTTCATCAACCTACTTTTCCCTGCGTAGTATTTTGTAAATATTTGTATGTTAAACTTAAGTTAACTATTTATGTGTTAAAATATTGCATTAAAGTTGTAAATACATACAAGTAGCAATAAAAACTTTTAGTAGTCAAAAATAATAGGCTATATTAAAAACACTAAGAATATGTACTCTGAATCTATTTATTTATTTAAAAATTTTTAATGTTTATTTATTTTTGAGAGATACAGAGAGACAGAGCATGAGCAGGGGAGGGGCAGAGAGAGAGGGAGACACAGAATCTGAAGCAGGCTCCAGGCTCTGAGCTGTCAGCACAGAGCCAGATGTGGGGCTCGAACTCAAACCACAAGATCATAACCTGAGCCGGAGTCAGACACTTAACCGACTGAGCTACCCAGGCACCCCCATACTCTGAATTTAAAAAAGAAGGTTTGAAAAAAGGATTTGTTATGCAAATCCTTCCTTTTAAAATTTGGAATCTGTGGCAAAATAAAAAAAACAAATTTGGTGAAGATGATTAGCCTCTTTGAATGTTAGCACATATCTAAGTTTGGGTTTGAAATGGAATGCACTTGAACTTAGGCATACATGTGCAAAATGTTAATTGCCCTCTGAGAGATGAGACATTAGAGTGTGATACTTTAAGGTCTCTGGTTTTCTCAGCTTCAGAGCTACAGAATACTGTTGAACAGTATCATATCACAACAGCCACTTGGGTATCTAATGTCAGTCAGATCTTTTGTCTGGCCTATGAAGGTTCATCACTCAATGATTCAAGATTGTCAGAAACCCTGGATTTCAGCCTCTGCCCTAAAGACTGCCATGTACTGGTCTTTGGACAGATTCCTTAATGATATTGTGTCTTACTTGGTCTTCACTCTGGAAAAGGATCAAATCAAATGCAGACTTCTTCCAGCCCTAAACTCTGATTCCATCTCTTCCTTATGTTTTCTAAGGTAGCTGAGGGCAGATAGTTCCTGGATACCTATTTCAAAGGTGATGCCAACCACTATATGGAATGATAACTCTGTTCTTCTCTGTTCAGCCTTGTTTTCCTCACATTCTAATTTTAGTTTCTGTATTTTTTTAAAGTAATCTCTACACCCAACGTGGGGCTTGAACTCATGAACACAAGATCAAGAGTTGCATACTCCTCTGATTGAGCCAGCCAGGCACCACTAGTTTCTGCATTTTGGCAGTAAGTGATGTGGCTGGAGTTTTTCCCTCAGGGAAAAGCTATTGAGTGCCAGCATGGTGGTGGCTGCTTGAGTATGATTAAAGCAGGGACTTGGGATGCTCTCAGGCTAATGAGGGAGGTACATGTCACATGGGTTTCTAATGAATTGGCATTCAGCCAAGATGGGTTTGTGTGTTGTCAAAGATGCTGCCTGGCTGTCAGTCTTCCCAACAGGCCTCACAGGTGGCATGGATTACCTTGGAGTAATGTCTGTTGCCAGCCTTCCAGGCCCAGAAACTGTTAAGTGTAGTTAGCACAATAAGAGTAGAATCTGTCTTTTCATTTATTCATTTAGTCAACATTTATTGAGCACCAGCTATGTGCCAGAACTCTTGCAGTTAAAAATGATGGAAATTCAACTTAAATTTGTATGTCAAAAAAGGGCACTATTATCTGGGCATGGGCAGATTCAAGGGCTCAAAGATAACAAGGCTGTCTTTCCATCTCTTGGTCCTGCTAGCCTCTGCAGTAAAACCTTGGATTGCGAGTAACTTGTTCTGCGAGTGTTCCACAAGACAAGCAAAAAGCATTTCTAAAAAATGTTAACTTGATAAATGAGCAATGCCTTGCAATACAAGTAATACGTGACGCTGAATGTCACATGATCACAACTGAACTAATGGTTCTTCAAATTTGCTGTGATATACAAGTGCTTTGGATTTCAAGCATGCTTTCGGAACAAATTATGCTCTCAAACCAAGGTTTTATTGTATTTGGCTTCACTCAGATTCCCTCTGCAAGGAACCGCTCTCAACACCAAGCCTTCAACATTCATGTAGCTTATGATCCCAGAGTAAAATTAATCCTCTATTTTATTCCTTCTTTCTTTTGAGAGAAAGCCAGCTTGAGTGGGGGAGGGGTAGAAAGGGGGAGAGAGAGAATCCCAAGCAGGCTCCAAGTTGTCAGCATGGAGCCCAATCTGGGGCTCAAACTCAAACCTTGAGTTCATGATCTGAGCCAAAGTCAGACACTTAGCCAACTGACCCACCCAGGGGCCCCATGAATTCTCTCTTTCCAAGCAACCATTCAGCAAATCTCATGGAGGGACAGGATTGGCTCTGCTGGGCTCACATATTGATCTCTGAACCAATCTCTGTGGCCAAATTGCCCAGACCTGGTGGGGGAGCAGGACTAGCCCCCTCAAACCATATGGAATGAGTTCCCCACAGAAAGGACAAGTTCTACTTTTAGAAGAGGGAAGGGTTGCTAGGCAGGAAAACAAAAGTAATGATAGGTATTCATAGCCATTCACTGTGCTTAGCACAGGGCATACACCAGCCACCAGGATAGAGAATGTCCCTGTCATTAAGGAGCTTATATTCTAGCTGAGGAGCCACACACACAAATTTAAAAAGCAGTTGAAATAATTATAAATTGTGTTGAAGCAAGGATCTGAGATAGAAAATAATGGCAGAAAATAAAATTACTGTGGGCTGGAAAGACCTGAGTGGGTGATATTTAAGCCAAGACCTAAAGAATGGAAAAGAGCCAGCATGTGAAGTGAGGGAGAAGTGGGCTCCAGGCAGTAGGAACAGGTGTAGAAACATGCTGAAATGGGAGAGTTTGACATGTTAGAGAAGAATAGGGAGGCTGGAATGTAGACAGCAACGGTGGAGGAGCCCACAGACTGGAGAGAGAGGCAAGAACAAAAATTCTGGGGCATCTTATGATGCAAAGCTTCAGATTTATTCTAAACAGTGAGGTGCATGTATCCTTTTGAATTAGTATTTTTGTATCCCTTGGGTAAATAGTAGTGCAATTGCTGGATTGGAGGGTAGTTCTATTTTTAACTTTTTGAGGAAACTCCATATGGTTTTCCAGAGTGGCTGCACCATTTTGCAGTCCCACCAAGAGTGTAAGAAGGTTCCCCTTTCTCCAGATCCTCACTTGAGGTTTATTCTAAATAGTTTGGAGTGTCGTAATTGTCATTACACCAGTTTGAGGGCTGATGGTGGCCTGGACTGGCATTCGTGAGATGTACTGGCAAAGGAGATGAAAAGAAAAGGATGAATTAAAAATACATTTGAAGAATGAACTGGAGTTGCTGATGCCCTGTGGGTAGAGAGGGAGATGAGGGAAAGAAAGAATCCAGATCAATTCCTAAATTTCTCCCTAGAAAGACAGAAGTCATTTTCATGAGATTGGTTTATAAAATTAGAATGCCAATATATAATTGCGATGTGGACCAGAATCCATCCTTTGTGATGCTAATCCCTACCAGTGAGCAAAATCCCTGGAAAGCCGGTCCTGTCAGAAAGTTGCCTGGTGAGGCATGATCTATTGATACAGAGTGGTGTCATGTCAGAGATCCATCTTGAGAGGGCCTGAAGAACTAGCTGTATGTAATATTTGCAGTCTTTGGAGTTGGACCCTCTCCCCTCTACAATTTTTGAATAGGCATAACCACTAAGATAGGATATTTGAAGGCATTCTATTTAGTGGTAGACTAGTACTGTTTTGGGGTGCCTCTTTAAGGCGAATTTACATAACTCTTGCCTGATTGTTCATGTGTTGAGTTAAAACTCTCTGATAGCTTTATTTCTCCTTTCCCCAATTTTTTGAGATATACTTCTTGAATTTCCATACAGTACTGCACATGTCTATATCATGTCTAAGGGAGAGAGATTTCCTGATTGAGATATGCCACTCTCTTCTTGTTCCATTCTAGATGACATCCACAATCCAAAATGTTTCTCTTTTAACTTTTTGTGCTGTGAGGCAAAGTATATCCAAGGATTACCAAGTAGTGTACAAAAAGAATACTTGGGATTGAGAGATGTCCAAAGATCACTTACCTCTAAAAATCTCTTAGTTTAAAAATGATAAAAAAAGAGACAGGGGGTTGCCAAAAACAGGGTTATAAAAATTTTGGTATATTGTGTTTAAAAGATACCACATTTAACAAGTTAATGTTAACACACACACGCATACCACACTTAAACTTGTGCTGTTCACAAGCTAATACAGGATTTATAAAAAACGATTTATAGTACACTTCAGTAGACAGTGTGCCCTATAACGGGACACAAGATGTAGATGAATATAATCTCTTTTAATCCTGTGTTTCTTTGTGACTTGTGTGTAGAACTTCACGTGAAGGCAAATTTAAAAATCTAAATTTGAGATTTCTTCTGAATATTAAGTTTGGACCAAATGACATATTGGTCTCACCCATCTCCCACACCCACATTATGATTGTTGTGCATTTACTAGACACTGATGGAAATCAATCTTAGAGATCGAGGGCCTTAGACTATTACTCCTCCCAGTGTGATTAGGGAACAAAGGCCTAAGGAGAACCGGCGCCAGAGAACCTCTGAACCGAAAAGGGACCCGGCTCTGCTGCCTGAGCGTTGCTGTAACTACACTGAAAGCTGGTATGTTCGGCCTCAAGGCCTCGGCAAGTAACACAGAGCTACCGAGAGCGCTCGGGAGTCCTCGCCGGTAACACCGGGAACTGCGGCTCAGGACCTCGCAGGTTTCTCTCAGCCGGCTAGCGCGAGCAGGTGGGCGCCTGGAGCAGGCGCGTCCCCTTGGCAACCGGAGAACTTGCCGGGAGGGCCCCAGGGCGGGGCTGGCCGGGCGCTGGCCGGGCTGGGGCGGGGCTTGGGCACCGCCCACCCCAGGCCCCTCGGGTCGGGCAGAAGACAGACAGCGCGCCTGTGTCCGGTCGAGAGGGTGGGCGCTAATGGAGAACCAAGAACATTTAGGCTCATCAGCGTTTTCGGATGGGCATGACACGACAGAAATAGCCGTTTCGCGCGAGGCCCATCCGAAGCCCTTTGTAGTCAGACTCCTCGACGTGCACAAGCTTGAGGAGCCGGAGGAACCCGAAGAGCCCGAGGAACCCGAGGAGCCGGAGAAACCCGAGGAGCAGGAGGAACCGGGGGAGGCCAACGGGCAGATCACGCGATACCGGGGCATTGAGTTTTATGGGTCCGAGGAGACATCTGAACCCCACAAACCCTATGAGCCCCACAAGCGCTATGAGCCCCACAAGCGCTATGAACCCCACGAACTCTATGAGCCCCAAGAGCCCCAGGAAGCCTACGAGCCCCATGCACTGCGCAATCACAGTAAACGCCTGGGATCCCGTAAGCCCCGGGGGCCCTCTGCTTCCCGCGAGACCCACAAGCCCCACAAAGCCGAGTTGCTTCCCAGCGCCGCCGTAGTGACCGCGCCTTCTCTGGTGACCAGATTCCCGCCACGGATTCCGCTATCTTGCCTGAGGGGTAGGTGCTGGGGCCCTTTCCAGAGACACTGAGCAACCCCGCCCTATGTAGAACTCGGGGTTCTAATGTGGATGTTTGCATGCAAGAGCTCACCTATTTTAAAGGAAGGTAATTTTTGTATCGTTTACCTGCTGCTTTGCAGTCATCTGATGAGTAATTGAGACTCTGGTAAAGAGAAACTGAATCTCTTCACTCTCTCCCTCTCTTCACCTGATAACTTCCTAGCCTTGGTTATTCATTGTAACTTCTCTTTGAAGCCCTTAATTCTTCACTACAGTTAGTCACTGCATTTTCTCTGGGTTGCCACTTCAAACATTAGTTCTTTATAGCACTTAAGACTTTGTACTACATCGTTATCTTTCTCCCCAATTAAAAGATGGCATCCTTGAAGGGAGGATATTTTTGTCAGTGTTTGGCACATGGTGGTACTCAATAAATGCTAGCTATTACATGGTTAAAGTTGTAGTAACAAAATACTCCAGAGGAATTTAAAATGTACATTTACTAAATGCTTATAGTCCTCACCAAGTTCACAAAGTGACAGAGCTGACGGATCTTGGGTAGAAACATCCCTTGCTCTAACCCCATTGGTTCACTTATGACCTCTCCTTGATGACCCCACCCAGAACAATTCTTTGTCCAAACTGGGCTTCCAGTCCCTCAGCTGACCACTTTTACTCTCATGTTCTCCTAGACTCCTCTTTATCAGCTTCCATTCTATGGTCTCTCAGGGGCTCACATATTTCCCCACTCCATTTACTCTTTGGCTATCTACCATACTTCTCCTGGCAAAACCCCAACCCAGGTTAAACTTAACCATCCACCCTCTGCATGCACCTGAGCAGCTGACTCTTGCTATACAAAATCACACAATCATATAATTGCTTTTATTTCAACATGACCACAAATCTTAGTCAATCATTTGATACTTCTAGCAATCCCACTTTATTCACTAGTAAGTTAGTTCTCCTAGTCTCTGAGAAGGTGACTGTCCTCTTTACCTTCCTCCAAATGTTATACTTTTGGCCTCCAAACAGGTGAAGACTGCCTTACACTTTATTGAGCAAATAGAAGCAATCAGTCATGAGCTCTCTTATTTCTTTTTTTTTTTTTTTTACCACTAATCTATTGCCTTGCCCAAATTTATACTTATAGATTCTTTTTCCATATTTCATAGAAGAAATGTGCCTTTTTCTATGAAAAGCAAAGTCTTCCATTTGTGGTTTGGATTCCACTCTTGTCTCCTGAAGAACTTTGTTCTTGCCACAATCACCCCTGTCTCCTACAGAATTAATTTCTCCATTTCTAATGAATCAGTCCCACGAATGCTCACATATACTCTATAAACATAACTCTAGAACCTTTCATCTTAAAAAAAAAAAAACCCTTGACCCCATGTCCTCTTCGGACCCCTCTTTTCCCCCCCATTGCCATCATTTTTCTGTTCTTCACTGCAAAACTTGTCCAAAAATTGTCTGTACTCACTGATTCCATTTCTCCACCCATTATTCTCTCCTCAACCCACCTAGTAAGGCTTCTTTTCCCTCCACTCCACTGAAACTGCTCTAATTTACTGGCTTACTCTCCACTGCCAACCTTATCATGCATGAAATTTCAGTATTCACATGGATTATTCACTTGGCTTCTCAGTTCTTTGACCTCGCTTTGTTTGTTTTTTTTTTTTATTTTTTTTTAACACTTATTTATTTTTGAGACAGAGAGACAGAGCATGAACAGGAGGGGTCAGGAGAGGGGAGAGACACAGGAGAGATCCGGCAGGCTCGGGCCCTGAGCGTGACAGCACAGGTGACGCGGAGCTCCCGAACTCACGAAGACTTTGCGAGATCATGACCTGAGCCGAAGTCGGATGCCCAACCGACTGAGCCACCCAGGCGCCCCTGACCTCCTCGCTTTGAATGATGGTGTCCTTCATCCCATCTTAGGCACCCACTCCTCTAGTCTTTGTAATGTCAATTGCTGTGCCATTTCCAAAATTTCCTTATCAAGCACTCTAATCTCTAACCATATCGTATCTTTCCAGCTCACTCTTCCTCCTTGTACCCCCCGTCAATTCTTCAACTTCAAAAGGTCCTCTAACCTATTGATGCTATTAACCATTCACTACCTTTTGTATATATATCACTACTTTTGTCTTCTGTGTCCCTTTACTTAACTTGATAATCCATGGTCCACAAGTGGAATCACTCCTTTGCAAATATCCTTACCTCCCTTGCTTCTCCTGTCGTTCTTGCCCAGTTCAGTCCAGTTCTTGCCTGCACTTGAAAACCAATGACAAGAGAAAAACAACTATCCTCACTGATTTTAAATTAATGACCTTGAAATTCAAATGGGCTCTCAGCGCAAACGTACTACATTTCCCCTGTCAATCTATTTTCCAACATGGAATCTACCAAACTCCCAGAATCTGTACATATATATACTCTACCTTTCCTCCTGTTAAAAATGGATAAACTGTCCTTATTCCTAATAAAGGCCATTCTCTCAACCTGTATGTTGGATCGCATCTTATCTAACTTTAAGCTCTTTGCTCCTAAAATTAGCCCCTCTTCTCTCCTGCATCATTTTATTCTCTCTACTGGGTCATGCAGCACATGAACAAGCATCAATAACTCCTGTCTAAAAAAAAAAAAAAAAAAACAAAAAAAACTCCCTTAACCCCATGTTGAGGAAAAATTCCTCAAAAACAGTAGTTGTCTATAAGTCATTATCTCCATATACTCTCTTCTCATTCTCTTGAGAACCCATTTAAATGTTCATCTCCTCTATTTGTCTGAAGTTACTTTTGTTGAGGTCATAATGACCTCTGCCTTGCCAGAATCAATGGTTAATTCTTTATCCTCATCTTATTAATTTGACACATTCACTCCCTCTTTCTTGGAAGTCTTTATTTGTCTTCATTGTCATCCTACCTCATCAATTGTTCCTGACTCAGTTTTCTTTCCTAGATCCTCCTTCTCTTCCCAGCCTCTAGGTTCCCTGGGTTATGTCATCAGTTCCATGGCTTTAATTGTATGCTGGTAACTTCTCAAATTTCTCCCTTGAGCTCCCAAATTTTATAACCATTGTCTATTTAATATCTGTACCTGAATATCTAGTAGGCATGTAAAATTGAACGTGTCCATGACTGAGCTCTTACTTGCACACTCAAGCTTGTTCTTTCTTTATTGTTCCCCTTTTCAGCAAATGGTACCATCACTCATTCATCCAGGTGCTAGGATAAAAAACCTTGGAGTCATTCTTGACACCTGTTTTTCTCTTACACTCAGCCTCTAAACCATTTGCAAACCCCAATTTTGAGATATATCGTAACTGACCATTTATTAACATCTAAAGCTTCATCACCTTTGTAAGCCACTGTCATCTCTTGCTTGGTCTACCACAGTAGCTTTCAGCTTACTCTTGCTTCCACTCTGGTCCTATCCTGCCTGCCCCCCCGCCCCCTGCCCCAGTTTATTGTTCATATAGTAATCACAGATCTTTAGAACATAAATTATATGCAGCTCTTCTGCTTTCACCTCTCCAGAGGGGGGTTCTCATCTCACTTAGTTTGTAATCTAAAGTCCTTAGCAGGCCTGCAAGGTCCCACATGATCTGGACCCTGGCTACCTCCACAACCAAATGTCCCACCACTCTCCACACCATCTCTAGTCTCAAGCCACGTGGACCTCCTTGCTCCCATCTCATGGTCATTTCATTTGGCTTTTTCCTCTGAACTTGCATTGGAGGCACTGGATTTGAAGGTGAAGGAAGAAGGGTTGGAGAAATAGTAATTTTTTTTTTTGGCTCAGTCAAACTGGATGCTATTTTATAAAAAAAGGAAGCCACCCTTGCTATATAATCCTGCCTGTGGCTTCCTGTTGCTCTTAGGATAAACCAAACCTTTGCAAGGGTCTCTAGAGTTCCATGGGTCCCCTAACCTCACCTTCTTCTGTTCTTCCTCCTGCTTACTCTGCCCCAGTCATACCAGCTTCTTTTCTGTTCTCTAAAAGGCCAATCCCATACCTGCTCTGGCCTCAGAATCTATATTTGTGGTTTTGTCTCCCAAGATACTGTGTTTTAGGATTTTGTCTCATGATTAATTCCTATTCAGATCCCAGTCCACATTTTTATTTTATTTTGTTTTGGTTGGGTTTTTTTCTTTTTCTTAAAATTTTTTTTCAGCCGAGTTTATATTTAAATTCCAATTTGTTATGGGGCACCTAGCTGGCTCAGTCAGTGGAGCGTGCAACTCTTGATCTCCAGGTTGTGAGTTCAAACCCCACACTGGATGTAGAGATTACTTAAAAGGTTTTCCTTAAAAATCTTAAAAAAAAATTTCAGTTAACAAAGTGAAATATTAGTTTCAGGTGTAGAATTTAGTGATTCAACACTTACATCACCTGGTGCTCATCACAAGGGCACTCCTTAATCCCCATTACCTATTTAACCCATCCCCCCACCCACCTCCCCTCTGGTCACCATCAGTTTGTTCTCTATAGTTAAGAGTCTGGTTCTTGGTTTTTCCTCATGTTTGTTTGTTATGTTTCTTAAATTCCACATATGAGTGAAATCATATGGTATTTGTCTTTCTCTGCCAGTCCACATTTAAAAGGTGAGAAAGCCTAGCTCTTAGAGGGCTTTCCCTGTCCATGATGCCTAAAGTAGCCCCCTCTGAACTAGTGTGATGATGAGACTCTCAAAAGTTCTCAGACTCTGCTTTAGAAAATAAATACTGTTTTAAAACTCCCAATCTTCTCAATTGTTTTCTAGATTTTCCTTGTTAAAAATTCTAAGTCTTTACATCAATTCCCTTAGTAAAGCTAAATAAGCATCCAGCATATTTGCATAATATTTACATAAAATAGTGTAAGTATTAGGCAATATTTAGCCAACATGTCACCATGCTTCTGTTCACACAATAAGATTTCTTCCTCCAACAAACATTTGGGGTACATGAGTGACTCAATTCGGTTAAGCATCTGATTCTTGGTTTTGGCTCAGGTAATGATCTCACCGTTTGTGAGTTTGAGCCCTGCATTGGGCCCTGTGCTGACAGTGCAGACCCTTCTTGGGATTCTCTCTCTCTCTCTCTCTCTCTCTCTCTCTGTCTCTCTGCCCCTCCCTGCTCTCTTTTTCTCAAATAAATAAACTTTAAAAACAAACATTTGCTGAGCATCTACTAAAGCACTCTTTGTGTCCTGTGGGGGTGTAAAGATGACTGAGACATGGCAGTTTGGTTGTGTGCATATTTTAAAAATTTATAGTATAGGGCCGATCATCTTACTAATATATCATCACCTAATCATGGGTGTCACTGTTAAAATTTATTGAGCACTTAATATATTCAGGGTGTAGACACTGAGTTGTAGATGAGTAAGACAAGGATCCTGTCCCTGAAGGACTGTCAGTGTGATTGGGAAGGCTGAACATGTTGATAACAATAACACATCCGTATAGCATACAAAGCAAAGTGATTGGAGTATCCTACGGGATACTTCATTTTTCTGAGTTTAATGGCAATACTACTTCTATTTTTAATGGAGAAGAAAGGCTCAGAAAAAAATAGGAACAAAGTATTCATTTAAGCTACTTACCTAAAATAGGCTGAAATAGAGATTAAATACTTAATCTCAAGCATACAGAACTCAGAGTACTTAACTTGGATTTATAAGGGATTAGAGAAGTAATAAAAGCAAGAATCTCAGGCAAGTGAGGGGGTATGGAGGGAAATCATATTGAGTAAATTTTTTTTTAAATTTAAAGCTATTTTGAAATTTGTAAGATATTTACATGATTAAAAAACCAAAACAAATAGAAGACTACGAGGAAATGTCTACCTCCCACTCTGTTCCCTCTCTCCATTTTTAAAATGTTTATTTAGTTTTTTAATCATTTTTTTAAATGTTTATTTATTATTGAAAGACAGAGAGAGAGCATGAGCATGGGAAGGAGAGACAGAGAGAGGAGGAGACACAGAATCCCAAGCAGGCTCCAGGCTCTGAGCTGTCAGCACAGAATCCAGTGCGGGGCTCGAACTCACAAACCGTGAGATCATGACCTGAGTTGAAGTTGGACATTTAACTGACTGAGCCACCCAGGCGCCCCTCTCCCCTTTTATAAGTAACCACTTTTATTCATTTCTATGCATCTTTATATAAATTCAAGAAAATACTGTACAAGCTTATGTATGTGTTCCCCCTTTCTTATCAAAGGGTAGCATAAGCCATACTGTTCTTCACTCTTTACTTGACAGTGTATCTTCCCATATAACTAAATACAGAGTTTTTTCATTAAAAAAAAGAAAAAGAAAAACAGATGCCCCATGTTTTGTTACATAGTTGTGCCACTACTAGTTTAACACCTTGTTTGTTTCCAGGATGTTGTTATTATAAGCAATGCTGTAATAGATAAACCTGTATGTGATATCATTTAGTACATGTCATGCAGTTATATCTGTAGAATAAATTTCCAGAAGTGAGATCACTGAAGGGTAAACACATCTGGAACTTTGATTTAACAAAATCACCCTCCATGGGAGTTGATGCCCACAAGCAATGGAATTGTCTCTTTCTCTATAGCTTCACCATTGTAGTGTGTGGTTGAACTACTGGCTTTTTGAAAATCTAATTGATGAAAAACTAGTATGTCAATTAAGTTTTAATTTGCATTTACCTTACCATCTGAATGACATTAAGCATCTTTTTATATATATATATTTTTTCATGTCATTTGCCTATTCTATTTTCCTTTTGAGTTGCTAGATATTTTTCTTACTTGCAGGATTAGCCCTTTGTCTGGGATATGTATGACCTATTTTTTCTGTTTATTAATGGTCTCTTTGTCTTTGCTTATTTTTATTTTGTTTTATTTTGCCATAAAAATATTTTTATAATAACATTTATCAGTCATTTCTTCTTTAGCTTCTGTATGGAATCATAATTAGAAAGTCCTTCTTTCCCTTGCAGGTTATGAAGGAATTACCCATGTGTCTTCTTTTATAATCTTAAAAAAAAAAACATTTAAATCTTTGATCCTTTTGGAATTTATTGTGGTGTTTGGTATGAGTTATAAAGTGTTTTTAAAGTTTTTTTTTAAATTAATTAATTTATCTATATTTATTTATTTATTTTTATTTAGAGAGAGCATGGACCAGGGAGGGGGCAGAGGGAGAGAGAAAAATCTAAGCAGGCTCCATGCTCAGCACAAAGTCCAATGTGGGGCTTGATCTCACGACCATAAGCTCATGACCCCAAGATCATGACCTGAGTTGAAATCAAGAGTCTGATGCTTAACTGACAAAGCCACCCAGGTGCCCCTTGTGGGGGTTATAAATACAGCTTTCTTAGCAGCTACCAGTTGCCAGTGCCGTCTTCACATAGATGAAATTGGGTAAAAATGAACATGAAAAATAGATTTGAAATTTGAGAAAATGTGTCACAAAAGTGCTAGTTTTGATCTCTGGTTTGCACAGAAGTCCCTGGTTTCTGTTGTCGTCATTGTCATAGTTTAACCAAATGGAAGGACTTGCCCTTTTTCCTGCCTCTATCTTCTCACCTTCAAGCAAAACCCTTTCCCACACTCTCCTATCTCTTGCCCAATGACCCAGAGCTAAGGCAGTGGGGAGCACAGTGCTAGGGAGCCGTGCTTAGGAGAGGATCAAGAAGAATGAACAGTAGTAATGGATCACATAGCTTATTATGTCATATCAAAGAACATCCCACTGTTTACATAGTCACACCCAAAATAGAAATGGACTGCTTCAAGACCAATCTTCAAAACAATAGTGTACACAAAACAAGCACAAATTTTACTTCAAAAAGACTTGAAAAATAAAGTAGGTCTCTTACTGAAGTATCTTGAAGGGATACATAAGAGCAAAACCTGCTAAAATGCTCTTGAAGCATTTCTTTTCCCAGGTCCCAATCATCATGACAGCTAATTTCCAAAAATACCTTTCCTATTTCTCTCAAACTCCACCTTGACTCTCTCTTACCTTCTCTTCCTGTGCCCCCTAGATCTATTCTGAGATGTGCTTCCTGCCTTTACTTTGTAGGTCAGTTGTACACCATTTGGTACAACCCAGGACTAGAGGCTGAGCATCTCAAACATGGGCTCCTTAGGAGTCAGGGTAGAGGACAAAGTGGAGAACAGCTATACTTTAATATTTCATCCTTGTCATGTTACAGAATACTTTACTTGTGCTTGCAGTGGGACTCACAGTGAACAATGCCTCGTCACTGCCGTCAGGGAACAGGTTTAGTCATGCTCTCTCCCAGCAGATGGCAGCCTTCTCTTTTAAATGGCTTGGACCATCCCATTTGTAGCTGGAGGTGGCAATGTGTGTGATGTGGTTTGTGTGTTACAGAATAAAATACAGACATTTAAGGCGTATAACAGCCATAATGTTCTGATTATCTCTTAGAGGGAGATGATATTCATCATTTTGCTCCAAACTCTGGCAGGGCTCATTGGATCTGGCCCAACCACAAATTGTGCTGTCCTCTCCCTTGCTCGCTTCTCTCCAGCCACCCTGACCAACTATCCTTCTGTGCCTTTTGCTTGATTCCACCTCAACCTTTACGCTTGCCATTTCTTCTGTCTGAAATGCTTTCCCTCTCTCTCCTGATGAGAGTCAGGATTTGGTTCTGGGCTGTCTGATTCCAGAGCCAGTAGCCTTACTCATTAAACAATATGTGGTAGAGCCCAAACTTGTCTGCTTTGAAAAATACCAGTGCTTGTGTTCCACCTCCAAAGATTGTGGATTTAATTGGTCTAGGGTGTAGTCTGGGCCCTACAATTTTTTTTTTTAACATTTATTTATTTTTGAGAGACTGAGCAGGAGAGGGGCAGAGAGAGAGGGAGACACAAAATCCAGTGCAGCCTCTAGGCTCCAAGCTATCAGCACAGAGCCCAATGCAGGGCTCAAACCTATGAACCATGAGATCATGACCTGATCCAAAGTCTGATGCTTAACCAACTGAGCCAGTCAGGTGCCCCTGGGCCCTACAATTTTTAAACATCCCAGGGTGATTCTAGTTTGGAAACCATGGTAACACTGCCTTGCTTGGGACATTAGCTAACAATAGCCACCTGAGAGCTATTCTATTCTGCCAATTGGTAAGATAACATCAAAAGTATTTCCAAAATAAGAGTGCAGTCTCTACCTGTGGGAGAAACTACCATGATAGGGCAATAGGAAAAGTGTTTTCATTCATATTATTAATATTTGTAGAATTTTTTAAAAGATTTATTCAGGGTTATACTGACTTTCTGACCTGTGTATATAAAGCTGAAAACCAAGCTTGGTGATACGTGAAAAGTCCATGGGACAAGCATGACTGGGCACAAAGGGTGTATTTGTAAGGCTACTCTTCCTTTTTCCTTAGGTCTAAATCAGTTTAGCCTTAAAAAGCAGAGTAATAGGGGGCTTCTGGGTGGCTTAGTAGGTTAAGCATCAGACTCTTGATTTCAACTCAGGTCATGATCTCATGGTTTGTGGGATCAAGCCCCACGTGCATCTCTGCACTGAGTGTGGAGCCTGCTTGGATTCTCTCCCCCTATCTCTCTCCCCTCCCTCCCCCCTCAAGATAAGTAAACATTAAAAAAAGTAGAGTAATAGAAAAAATCCCAATTCAAAAATTCCATTTACTTTTTTTTTCTTTTTTTAAGTTTGTAGCCTATCTCCTACTCTGCTGTAAACTCCTTGAGAGGTGAACATGTCCTGCTCATTTTTGTTCTCTGAGCACTGCTACACATAGTGGGAGCCCAATCAATACTTGGTTGCTGTGTTTCCTGTAGTGCTCCTACCTTGATAACGCTAAAGTAGTAACTAATAATTCTGACTACCATTCATCTACTATTTGCAGAGTACTTTACATATATGTCAGTACTCTTTATACAGACATACCTATTACCCTCCTATCTGAGAAGGGATACTGAGTCTCAGAGAAGGTAAGTAACTTATCCAAGGTTGTATAGCTGAGTCACAGAACTGGGGTTTGAGTCATGTTTGATGCCAGAGAACACTCACTTTTCATTACCCAAAACACTTCAGAGGGTAGGAAATGATATTTCAGAATTCTCAGGTATGATTAAAAACTCCAAGAAGAAACTGGAACAATCTGCCCTTCTGTGGCCTATTATAATAGGCCTTTACATAGCTTGGCCTGTATGATCGCCTACATTTTCCCACATTTAGAAAAAAACTAAACATGATTTTTAATTTGCTTTACCATTTCTTCTGTTTTGAACATTTCAGGTGGACCCAATTTTCCACTGATAATGCAATGAACATGTTTGTGCATCCATTTTTGCCTGCACTTGGAATGATTTCTTTAGGGTACATTTCTACAAGTAGAATTAGATTAAGGACATAAACATTGCTGACTTATACTGCCAAATTATTTTTCATAAAGTGTACTAGTTTAGATTTCTACCAGCAGTACACAAAAATACTCATCTCATTTTGCTCTTCTTTTTTTTATGAATATATTTATTTTGAGAGAGAGAGAAAAAAAAAACATAAGCAGGGGAGGGGCGGAGAGAGAAGGGGAGAGAGAGGATTCCAAGCAGGCTCCACACTGTCAGCACGGAGCACAGCACCTGACCTGGGGCTCAAACTCAAAAACTGCAATATCATGACCTGACCTGAAATTGAGAGTCAGACGCTTAATTGACCTAGCCATCCAGGCACCCTTTGTCTTACTCTTCTAATTTCATTATCCTTTGCAAAATTCTTTTGCTAATTTTATAGTTAAAAAAAAATCTCATCCTTTACTTACATTGTTTTGATTACAAGTAAACATGAACTTTTTCTTTTATTTATGTCTTACCAAATACATCTTTATATGTCTTTATGCCTTCATATATGTTTTTATGTCTTCCTATATTAATTCAGTTTCTATCCTTTGTCCATTCAACTTTTGACACATACCTTGGTGTTTTCGTATTCATCTACACTTTTATAATCTTCAGGTATTAAGACTTTAATAACCCTTTGTCATCTTGTTGCCAAATATTTTCATTTCCTCTTTAAGTTTTAATTTTTGGCACCCAGAAGTTTTAAGTTTTAAATATTTTAATCTATTTATCTTTTCCCTCTATATCTTTTGTTGCCTTTAACTGAGATTAAAATCCAGTGATTAAGTAGATATTCTCTTACTTTTGCTCTAATTCAACTTTAAAAAAAAAGTGTTTATTTTTGAGAGCAGGGGAAAGGGCAGAGAGAGGGAGAGAGAGAATCCCAAGCAGGCTTTGCACTGACAGTGCACAAGGCTCAATCCCACAAACCTGAGATCATGACCTGAGCCAAAATCAAGAGTCAGACGCTTAAACGACTGAGCCATCTAGGCATCCTCTAATTCAACTTTTTTTTTTTTTAAATTTTTTTTTTTTTCAACGTTTATTTATTTTTGGGACAGAGAGAGACAAACGCATGCAGACAGGGGAGGGGCAGGAGAGGAGACACAGACGATGGAAACAGGCTCCAGGCTCTACCATCAGCCCTCAGAACCTACTGTGGTCGGCTTCTAGACGCGGATGATCAGATGACCCTGGCTGAAGTCGGACGCTTAACCAACTGCGCCACCCAGGCGCCCC